GAATAGCCTTTTGCTTGATTGTTAATACACTGCAGTGAATTATGTTTTGTACATCACTCTGAGTTTCTTTTGAATATAAAGCAGTAAAAAAAATATCTAAATAAATAAATAAATAAATAAATAAATATACTTATTCTTTCTTCTCTTTTTGTGGGGCTATTATAATTTGGAGTGCTGCCTGAATGTGATGCTGAATCCATGCTTCTGATACCTATTGGACAGTTCCTATGATGAGAAGCAACTCAACACATCTCCCACACATATGACCCTGTTCTAGCATAGGGGTGAGATGTGTCGGGGAACTGAAATGATGTATATCATGCTGAGCTGAGGTCACTCCGTTCTTCCTTTCCTGGCCTAGAGGGCAAGGCAAGGTTCTCAGCTGACTTGCTTGGTGTTTCCCCTCCCCTGTATCTTGGATGCCCATAAGGAGGGTTTGGAAGCATTGCCACAATTGCAGGAGGATCCACTTTGGTCGACCACTCAAGTTCTATGGAAATGACATGGGTTTCCAAAGCAGCCTCTGACATGAGGAAGGGCCACAGCTCAGCAGAGGAGCACCTGTCTGTTGCATGTAGCAGTTCTCAGATTAAATCCTCAGCACCTCCAGATAGGACTGAAACCCTGGAGAGCTATTGTCAGTGTAGACTGAGTGGGTGGCGCTGTGGTCTAAACCACCGAGCCTCTTGGACTTGCAGATCAGAAGGTCAGCGGTTTGAATCCCCGTGACAGAGTGAGCTCCCATTGCTCTGTCCCAGCTCCTGCCGACCTAGCAGTTTGAAAGCACACCAGTTCAAGTAGATAAATAGGTACCACTGTGTCGGGAAGGTAAACAGCATTTTTGTGCGCTCTGGTTTCTGTCACAGTGTTCTGTTGGGCCAGAAGCTGCTTAGTCACGCTGGCCAACTGACCCGGAAAGCTGTCTACGGACAAACACCAGCTCCCTCGGCCTGAAAGCGAGATGAGTGCTGCAACCCCATAGTCGCCTTTGACTGGACTTAACCGTCCAGGGGTCCTATACAGTGGTACCTTGGTTACGTACTTAATTCATTCCGGAGGTCCGTTCTTAACCTGAAACTGTTCTTAACTGTTCTTTTCTTTGGAGGAAGGGCTTAAAATGCCACAGTGCTGCTTTAAATGTATAGTGCAGATAGGGCCACGTTATCACAGGATAAATATTTATTCATTTATTTCACCATGATCATACAGTGGTACCTCTGGTTACGTACTTAATTCGTTCCGGAGGTCTGTTCTTAACCTGAAACTGTTCTTAACCTGAAGCACCACTTTAGCTAATGGGGCCTCCCGCTGCTGCCGTGCCGCCGGAGCACGATTTCTGTTCTCATCCTGAAGCAAAGTTCTTAACCTGAGGTACTATTTCTGGGTTAGCGGAGTCTGTAATCTGAAGTGTCTGTAACCTGAAGCATATGTAACCCGAGGTACTACTGTAACCCGAGGCACCACTCTGTCTTTTTTTTTACCTAGATAAACCAATGGTCTCACTCTGCACAGGCCAGCTTTCCTTGTTCCTCCTGACTAGCCATTTTGTACTTCTGGGTTGTTGTGTTTTTTTGTAGGAACGCAGGTAGCGCTGCGGTCTAAACCACCGAGCCTCTTGGGCTAGCTGATCAAAATGTCAGCAGTTTGAATCTGTGTGACGGGGTGAGCTCCAGTTGCTCGGTCCCAGCTCCTGCCAACCTAGCAGTTCGAAAGAATACCAGTGTGAGTAGATAAATAGGTACCGATGCGGAGGGAAGGTAAACAGCGTTTCCATGCGCTCTGGTTTCCATCATGATGTTCCATTGTGCCAGAAGCAGTTTAGTCATGCTGGCCACATGACCCAGAAATCTGTCTGTGGACAAATTCCGGATCCTTCAACCTGAAAGTGGAGATGAGCGCCACAACCCCATAGTCGCCTTTGACTGGATTTAACCATCCAATGGGCCTTTACCTTTACCTTTTGCCTACTAGAACAAGACCCATAAGAGTTCTGATCCTCATATGATTCGTGCTGGAAACCACTGTTCTCTACCCCCCCAAATACTTTCTGCAGTCCAATAAGAGATTGTGTTACATCTGGATTGATTTTCTCCTTATTGACCCAGAGCTGCTCAAACAGCGCAGCTCTGGTCATGGCTGAGTTGGACATACCTTTAAAAAATTCCCTTTGATAGGGTATGCATATCTCTTCCCCCCCACCTTAAAATCATGACAAAAGGAAAGTATTTATTACCAAGAAGTCTGCACCCCCGGGCCAGAACTAGTCATCTTTGATTTAACTTTTAGCTGAAGTTGCTGAATTAAATGCAGTTTTGTTTTTATCTATTTGCATGGAAGGGTTCCAGATAAAACAACAGCTCTAGTGACCTGAGAGCGCTTGTATCATGATAATTAGGTTTGAAAACTCGTATATTGTTTTCATAAGGCTATTACATTTTCCGTAATTAAATTAAGCAAAAAATAAAGGATGCATGGCAATAATATTTATTATTAATACCAGACTCGAAAGGCTTACAACATGCGAAATTGAAGGTAAAAGGCCTTGAAGACAAGCTGAACTTCAAAACAATGTACAAGAGGCTGAGCTTTCAGCAAGTCGTTTAAAGAGAAGCAACGATAGATTGAAAAATAGCCTGAGCGGACGAGGCAGGCTTCTGCTTCCAGTTGGAACTGGGCAGCCTCCATGGAGCTTTTCGGGCTTCAGAATATAGCAGTTCCTGTGTGCTCCTTTTTGCCATGAAGCTTCTCTTTCCCTCTGTGGTCCATCTAGTGGTGCCTCAGGGCCAAAGCCCAGGGAACGAAAGCTCAGCCCCTAGAGAATGGCAGCTGATGGGGGCAGCGGCAGGGGCATACCTAGGGGTTGGCCCAGGGGGTGAAAAAATCACACCTCTCCACTCTGGCTTGGAGTGATGAGGAGCACGCCCTCCTGTGTGCTCCCCAGGCTACTCCTCTGCTGCTCTGGGCAGCCAAGCAAGGCATGCAGACTCCTCTGGATGTGAAAAGCAATTGCAGGGGTTGCTGATTTAGCTCTCTGCCAAGGGCGCAAGAGAGCCTAGGTATGCCTCTGGGCAGCCTAGCATCCATCGGAACTGGTAGCGTGGAGGGTATGGGGAGAGTAGGTGGAGCCACAGCCAATGACAAGCAGATTCCAGTTTCACCCCGCATCCTCCTCCCTGCTGAGTTCTGTGAGGATAATATTGATGCTATGCAGGAGGAAGCTGATAGTCAGGACCATCTCCTGAACTCAGAGGACAGGCAGGAGAGGGCTGGTTGAGGTTGGTGGGTCACTGCCACATTAGCCACAGTGGGGAAGCCTTTACTGCTTAGGGTTGCCATAATTTAGGACACAAAATGGTGGAGCTGGAAATGAAACTCAGTCTCTTTGGTCTGCTCTGTAAGGAGAGATGCATTGCAACAAGTTGCCTAGCAAAGCATGGAATGTCTGCAGAAACAAATCTAGGCCAAGGATAGGAAGATTTGGTTCAGTTCATAAGATGGCACACCTTCTATGTGCAGAAAGACCCTGCCTTGCGTGTCTAGAGCATTTATTTACACAAGAACTTGTGCAGTAGAAGACAAGCATTTGGTTGCTTCTGCTCTTGAAGCTGACAAAGAGGAGGCCATGGGGAGACAGGCTACGTAGCTGCCTTCAGATATCTACATGGCTGTCGCAAAGAAGATGGGAAATATTTTTTGTCTATCACTCCATGGAGCAACAGAGTAATGAATGGAAATGGCAAGGAAACGGTTTTGCAGGATATACCTGTATTAGGAGAAACTTCCAAACAGGAAGGACTTTCTCTGGAGCTGGCCAGCTCTCTTTTTCTGGACAGAGGTTGGCTCTGGGTGGCCATCCAGGTCAGGAGTGCTGTGGCCACATGATTATGGTAATGTTGGAGTAGATAACCATGGGGCTGTAGGTCAATGCAAGAGCATCTGGTCCAGGTTCAATCCCCCAGCATCTGCAAGTAGGACTGGAAAGATTGTGTGTTAGCACCTGTCTGTCTCAGGAGACAATGGAGGTATGTTCATTTGGAGGTGAAGTCCAATTGTTGGATGGTTGCAGCACCTGCTGTGGCTGTAGAGACCAATATGGGGCAAATGTATTGTTGTGTCTGGGGTAGATGAAGGCATCCCGTTGTGCTGTAGAACCTCAGAGTAGACAATATTGAACAAGATGGTCCAATGGCCTGACTCAGTATAAGATGGGAACACTAACATTTCTTAATTCTTTGTGTCACAAGCTCTTTCCAGTGCAAAGCCAGCGGCTACCACCTCAGTGCTAGCTATGGATGGCGATGGATTTTAAAAAGGTAGGAATTGCATCCCTCGTGCTTTTAACCTGTAGCAAACACGATTTATTTGAAACAACAATAATTGAAACCGACGCTAGCAAACATTCAGAAGGAAGACATTCCACATGTCAATGTATTTCTTTTCTTTTCTTTCTAAATAAAAGACTACTAACCAAGTGGAATATAACGAGAATTAAATGAGTGTAACTCTCATTCCAGTTAAGCTCTTTTGATCATCCAAGAAATCAAATTAAATATGGGGCATATTTCAGCTCTTTCCTTTACGTTAGACATTCTTTGGGAGACAATCAAGGCAGTCTTGAGGAAGACTGCAAGGGGCACAGTCAGGGAGCCAAAAAAGAAAGAGCTCTGGTGTGCTCTTAAGCAACGCACTCTGGACTTGGCCTTGTACATCAATCAACCAGAACTAATCTAATGGTAAACATATACTGTAAAGGCAAAAGGGCTGCTCAATCCTCTTAGCTTCTTTAATGAAATACCTCTGAGAGATTTTTTTTTAACTGCTAAATGGGATTAATTATCAAATGTGCTTTGTATTTGTGACAAAATTGTTTGTTATTCTGGCTGTGTCCTCTAACTCATAAGAGACTGCATAAGCAAACTGCTCTGCAGAAAGGGGGAAGAACGCATCACATTCAACAAGGCTGAAGTTGTTCTGCAAATGACATAAATATATTAAAGATAAGGACTGTAGCTCAGTGGAAGAAAATCTGCTTTGCGTGCAGAAGCTCCCAGGTTCAATCCCCAGCATCTCTAGATAGGGCTGGGCAAGACCCCTCTTTGAGAATGCAGAGAGAGAGAACCACTTCCAAATGATGTAGATGATGCGGAGTTAAATGGACCGGTTGGTTTGATTCAATATAAGGCAGCTAATCCTAATCATGCCATGTGGTTGTGCAGCCCAGTGAAATAAACTGAGATAATGCTGGTCAACTACTTCACTGGATTGTTGTTCAACGATAAGCATCAATCCTAATTTTCTTATGGGATGTCCATACATCTTCCCATTAATCATTTGCTTTCTGTGCATTTCATGTCACCTTCCTGATTGCAAAAGTCCGTGGGGAAAAACTTGCATTGGGGTGAGAGAATGTTTAATCCACTTTGATTGTACAAATTCAAATTGCCAGCATGTGCCTGAGTACCTCCCACTAAATAGTGGCATTTGGAAGACACCCTGAAATATATACCGTACATACTTATCAGACTGGCTGCAGCTACTGGGTGATATTCAATGTTCATCATACTCAGAGCAGATCTCTTGAAGTCAGTTGACATTGATTTCAAGAGATCTGAATATGATGAACACTGAATATCACCCGGTGCATCCCACTCTTCAGACGCCCTTGAAACCCTTTGAGGAAGTTGGTAGAAATGAGGAAATTCCCCCAGATTTGGCCTTGAGATTTGCAACTTCATCCCCTATTTGTAATAGCCCATTACACAAATTCCAATTAACTCTCACAGGAGGTTTAGAGAACTTGTTTGCTTCTTTCTGTGTTGCTCATGATGTGTGAATAGCCTCCTAAGTGACAAGGGATTATTTCTGTCCCCCAAAACGCTTAACTCTTACACAGGCAAATGCCAAAGCATGAATCTGACACCTCTGCCTCGTGTAATTAGTTTCCCTGCTTAATGAAGTTTGCAAGTCTGCTATGCAGATATTTTAAGTCTGTGAAAGCATCCTGCAAGCTTCTGAGCACTGAAAGACCCTTGTGATCATGAGAACATTTGCACCCACTTCATGGTGCTAAGTAACAAAGAAGAAGAAGAAACAAGGAAATGTTCAGCACAGGCTATGCAGTGAAAGGAGAAACAGTGGGGGATGTTTTGCACGTTATGCACCAGCAACTTGCCATTTGACAGTAGTCCTATTTATGTACCCAGGGTGAACACCTGTGGGCTTAAACTAGGGAGCGAGTGATCATGCCTGCCTTACTCCAGGTACCCTAGCACATGGCAGCTACACAGTTGACCTTTATGAAATCCGAAGGGAGTTTCTATGGCTGCATGCACAGCATACATTTAAAGCCTATCTTTTGTTGTTGTTGTTTAGTCGTTTAGTCGTGTCTGACTCTTTGTGACCCCATGGACCAGAGCACACCAGGCACTTCTGTCTTCCACTGCCTCCCGCAGTTTGGTCAAACTCATGCTGGTAGCTTCGAGAACACTGTCCAACCATCTCGTCCTCTGTCGTCCCCTTCTCCTTGTGCCCTCCATCTTTCCCAACATCAGGCTGTTTTCCAGGAGTCTTCTCTTCTCATGAGGTGGCCACAGTATTGGAGCCTCAGCTTCAGGATCTGTCCTTCCAGTGAGCACTCAGGGCTGATTTCCTTCAGAATGGATCGGTTTGATCTTCTAGCAGTCCATGGGACTCTCAAGAGTCTCCTCCAGCACCATAATTCAAAAGCATCAATTCTTCGGCGATCAGCCTTCTTTATGGTCCAGCTCTCACTTCTGTACATCACTACTGGAAAACCATAGCTTTAACTATACGGACCTTTGTTGGCAAGGTGATGTCTCTGCTTTTTAAGATGCTGTCTAGGTTTGTCATTGCTTTTCTCCCAAGAAGCAGGCGTCTTTTAATTTCGTGGCTGCTGTCACCATCTGCCTATCTTACCCCTGTTCAAACTAGTTTTATATGGGTGTATTGCTGGGTCACACAAGGTTTTCAGCTGCTGTTTGAAATGACTGTATTTTATGCGAATACATTTTGCTTTTTTGTATATATATTAAAAAAGAATGTAAAAAGTATGTAAAAGCATGTAAAAAGTACATATTGAACCATTTCCACATAAATCATAATAAGGTCTAAAATAAAGATACACAAAATTAATATCAATAACAGCAATAACCCCCCCCCAACAACCCGCCACGATAAACAATACCCGAGCCCGAGAATCTATTCAGCAGCCTCAGCTTTTGTAGCTGGAGTCAGTCAGGCCAGGTGGAAAAGGGCCCGCAGAACAGGGAGCAGGAAACAGCAGGAGGGGAGAGTTCTGTCACACACAGGTCCTGCTTGCAAGTTTTAAACATGCATGTGGTTGGCCACTATGAAAACAGAATGCTGGGTTAGATGGGCCATTGGACGAATCCAGTGCCTGCTTATATTCTTATGCTGCAAGAAATGTGTGCCCTTGAATGCTGTGTTGGATGCATCTGTTCTATGCCCTTTGCAATGGAGAAACCCCATGAACCATCGATCCCTCTTCTCCAAAACAATCCAGACAGAGTTGTTGAGCTGGGGGGGGGGGCTTTTCTTTGATTTTTCAATATTATTATTATTATTTTTAAAATAGCCCAAATTGCCATACATCTGGGTTTTCCCAGACATTTCACCGATTCTGCAAAAACCCACCCGGATGCCATTTTTCTGAGCGATTCGCAGACATATGGCAGCCCTAATATATGGGTGTGATTCCTACAGAGTAATTTGCAGAAGAATCACGTGTGGTGGTATTGTTATTATTAGGTTCTGTCTACTGCTAGCTATACTCGAAGCATGGCACTACTCTGAGAAGAACTTAGTTGAATAGCTTAGTTGAAGAAATCTTAGGTGGATTTGTAGCTGCCTGACTGACCGAACCCAAAGAGCACTCATTAATGGTTCCTTGTCATCCTGGCAAAAAGTGACAAGTGGGGTGCTGTGGGGTTTTGTCCTGGGTCCGTTGTTGTTCAACATATTTATAAATGACTTGGATGAAGGATTTGAGGGGAATGCTCATCAAATTTGCAGATGACATGAAACTGGGAGGGGTAGCTAACGCCACGGAAGGCAAAATCAGAATTCAAAATTACCTTAACGGATTGGAGAACTGGGTGCAAGCTAACAAAGTGAATTTCAGTTGGGACAAATTTAAGGTTCTGCACTTAGGCAGGAAGAACTAGATACACAAATATAGGATGGGGGGGCACCTGGCTTACTAGCAGTACATGTGAAAGTGATCTAGGGGTCTTGGTGGACCACAAACTTAACATGAGTCAACAGTGTGGTGCAGCAGCAACAAAAAATCTAACCCTATTCTAGGCTGCATCAACAGAAGTATGCATCCAGACCAAGGGATGTAATAGTACTACTCTATTTTGCCTTGGTCAGACCACGCCTGGAATACTGTTTCCAATTCTGGGCATCACCTGGAAAAGAAGAGGCTGAGAGAAGATATGATAGCCATCTTCACATAGCTTAAGGGCTGTCACACGGAAGAGGGAAAATGCTTGCTTTCTCCTGCTCTGGAGGGTAGGACTCAAACCAATGGCTTCAAGTTACAAGAAAGAAGATTCTGACTATACATCAGGAAGAACTTTCTGACAGTAAGAGCTGTTCAGCAGTGGAACAGACTCCCACAAGAGGTGGTGGACTCTCCTTCCTTGGATGTTTTTAAGCAGAGGTTGGATGGCTATCTGTCATGGATGCTGTAGCTGAAATTCCTGCATTGCAAGGGGTTGAACTAGATGACCCTTGGGGTACCTTCTAATTCTAAGATTCTATAAGTCTATGAATATATCCTGTTTTTGATTATTATTATTATTGGTGGTGGTGATAATTATCATCATTGGATTTCTTACCTGCCCTTTGCAATAAGTTCCTTGGGTGGGTTGCAAACACACACACACACACACACACACACACACACACAGCCATTTACAGTTTTCACTGCTTAGCTGTATATGCTGAAGATGCACCTCTTTGCCCTGGTGCGCTCTCTCTCTCTCTCTCTCTCTCTCTCTCTCTGTGTGTGTGTGTGTGAGAGAGAGAGAGAGAGAGACCCCGTATTCTTTTCTCCCAGGTATCATAAGTCAGGATAAGGGGCGTGCCTTCAGCATATGATCATGAAGGTGCCAGATACACCTCTGTGCAGAAGGGATTCCATGTCTTAGGGATGCGGGTGGTGCTGTAGGCTTGTCCCTTGGGCTTGCCGATCGAAACGCCAGCAGTTTGAATCTGTGCGATGGGGTGCAATGGGGTGAGCTCCTGTTGCTCTGTCCCAGCTCCTGCCAACCTAGCAGTTTGAAAGCACGCCAGTGCAAGTAGATAAATAGGTACCACTGTGGTGGGAAGGTAAATGGCGTTTCCATGTGTGCTGGCACTCGTCACGGTGTCCCGTTGCACCAGAAGAGTGCAGGCTGGCCACATGACTCGGAAAGCTGTCTGTGGACAAACGCCGACTCCTCTGGCCTGAACGCCAGATGAGCGCAGCAACCCTACAGTGGTTTTTTGATGGACTTAACTGTCCAGGGGTGCTTAACCTTTACTTTTACAGGAGGTGAACTGCCTATCTCAACACCTGGGAGGATCCGTTGTGAATAGTAGTAGTGGCAACTGTAGTAATAAAAACCACCATCACCAACTTTTTAAAGAGTCAAGTGACGTGTGCCTTCAATTTTATCCGGCCAAAAAGAGAGAAAAGATTAAACAAAAGCAATCCTAGGTATCAGAAGTGTGGGAACCATTGCTTTCGAACCCTATTTTGAACTCATTGCACATGTGCACTTGAAAGCCAAGAGTGTGCAGCCTGCTACAATGTATTATTTGTAAAAACAGCCTATGCCCAGCTGTTTTAAATACACCTTGCTCCTATTTAGTATCTTGGTAGAGGGATTTGTGGAATCCATCTGCTCGAAAGATGAATTTTGTTCTGGGCAGAATAAAGCACCAAAGAAAGCAGTTATTAATGTGCAGAGGGGTTGCCGAAATCCCCTTCCTCTAGTTTTCTACACAGCATGCTTTTGATTCCCCCCAACTTTTCCCCCTTAAA